CCGCCATGCCCCCACCACTGCCACTGCCGCCTGTGGGAGCTCGCCATGCCTCCCCATATCCTCCAGGGCATGCATCATTCATGGGAACAGATATAATGTATCTTTCACTTTGGAAATTATTGGTGTACTTTGTAGCCTCAAACAGGATTAATAGTGCCTCATTAAGAACCAATTACATGTGAATTTGCCCTAGTATCCTACAAAGGAGGAAACCTTTACCCAGGCATGTGCAGGTGACAGGGACAGCTACAAACAAGCAAGGTGGGTGCCCAGGAATGCTGCCTGCATTGTCCATGGCTTGGATGTAATGGAAAATGCTGGCTATGCCCCAAGGTTACCATGCTTGTGAGATGAACAAAGAAAGCTGTCCAGAGGAGGGCGGCATAAGGGACAGCATTAGCCCTAGCGCAGGAAAGCACTTTCGCGTGGGCTGGCACTAGTCAATAAAGACTCAGTGAACTCAAAGCACACAATAAGCACATTTAGAGTGCTGTACTGAGGAGACATACTTCATCACCTGGGACTTGGATGAGGCCTCAAGGAAGTTTACTTTCTGGAGTAGGAACTGGTTTTGGCACTTGTACAGGATTAGAGTTGGAAAGTACCTCCAGGGTCATCTAAGTCCACCTCCCTTAATAAATGCAGAATTTGTTGTTCCTAAAGTATCCCAAGCAGATGCCTACCCAGCCTTTTCCTGCAATCCTGCAGCGAAGCAAAGTCTACAATGTCCCTAGGCTGTTTGCTCTTGTCTCACTGTTCTTATTGTCCCCTTCACTTTGGTCGCACTTGAAATGCGTGACCTCAGTATTCCCTATGTGATCGAGATTCAGTGCCTTTTACGGTCACTTAGTGGTGTTCTTCCTCACAACCATATAAAACTCTTGCAGGACTGGGTGCCCAGCTGCAGACTTGTAAATCATGTCAATAAAACAAATAGAGACTAGGAGGTCACACACCACATCCAGACTGGACTGTGAGTTCACAGAGACATGCACACATTGCTGTTAGTACCCTTAAAGGACAAATGTCTAGTACCATTATTCAAGTTGCTCCCCAAAGAAATCACTGCTGGTGTAAGGTGCTATTCAGGAAGGGGAAGGCATTTGGGATTTGGCTTAAGGTGTTTAGCTCACATTTATAGTTGCTTCTGAATGTTCTTCTTCTTGCTGGAGTATTTTTTAACTGTGAAATCAAGGGCTACTATGGAGATGAATGCTCAGGAGACAGAGGAAGGACTGTGGCACTCCCTGCCACTGGAAAGCAGCCTGAGCTGACACCTTGCTTGAGAAGTACTTAGGGAAGCGTGTGTGTGTGGGGGGAGGGGGGCGGTCCATTCTGAGGAAATCTTTTGAAAATGCCAGCTGATTGGGAAAAGCCAATGGGAGAAAAACAAGATGCAGAAAAGTCATATCTACAAAGCACCCTCTCTACGCTACCACATACAACAATCCATATTTCATACACCATTTTGGGCATGTGTTCAGCACGCATTACCCTTCTGCTCACAAAGCCTGTATTTAGCTTCTCCCATATGACCAGGATTGTGTGACACCGGGTCTCTGCATATAACATACATATGAGCTAAGCTGCTACATCAAGAGTTAGAGCTACTCAAACAAAAACACAGATGCTAAAATGCTGCATAGAAGGCCTAAGACAGGTATTTTCACTCCTTGTTTTTAATTCATTGTACTCTTACATTATTCTAAAAAGGCTTTGCCTGGTGTTTTGATGGAAGAAGTCTCACAGGGTGGCCTAGAAGATCCAATGTAGAGCACATAGTAGCTGGAAGCACCAAGATGTCCACCTATACACATGTCTACATCTATCAGCAAAATACCATGCTAGAAAAATCTGAAGCCTGGCAGGCTAAAAGATGAGGTCTTTTACTTCACCCATGCCACCCCTGAAAGGTAGGTCTCTGCCCTTGGTGTGGCACTGGAAATGCACCAACAGCTATGTCCCAGCCCTGCACCAAAGGGTTATACTTTATATTGTTCTGGGGTGGGGTGGGCACACTCTGTTCCCCATATGGTGCTCTGTAGCCTGATTCTTTGACAGTGGATAATGCTGGTAGCAGATTTTAGATTGAATGACTTTCTCCTAGTACACAGCCTACTCTGTGCGACTGGAATTTAATGGTAGGGAGGAAGGAAGACATGAGCAAATGCTGCGCAAAACACGCTCCGAGTGGGCTGTATTTGAGAGGGCTGGTCTCAGAGAAGGGGTAAGAGATGGGGCAGGTACATACACCACAAGAGCACACAATACATCAAGGCAAAATCCACATTTGAATGCCCACAGCTGCAACCCACTGAAGAATGAGAAACAGAATCTAAGTAGGTGGAGAGAAATAACCCATTGATGCCCTTAAATAAAACTGTCAAGAAACAGTTAAAAAACACAGCAAAAGTCAGCTGAGTCCCAGCTGAAAGATGATCAGATAAAGACAGAGAAGAAAACTGAAGAAAGCTCAGTTGGCTGCAGACAAAACGGTGCTACGTGACCCTACCAATTAAAGAGAACATTCTTCTTCCCCACCCGCCCACCATGGAGACTCGGGGAAAAAAGTAAAGCTCTTGGAGCAAGTTTATCTATATTAGAGGTCTTCATGTCTTTACTTAGTAATTCCAACTGGCTGCCTGATAATGCTTTATGACATTTCCTATTATCTGATTTAATTGATAATGTCAGAATTAGATAAGGGAGGTTGGAACAGTAAAGTCAGCTGATTATACCAGCACACTACCATGGGACCTGCTTAGTACAAAATGTCAGGAGCCTGTGGTTCTCTTTAGGTCTGCATGTGCTGATCCAAGAGAGAATGTGCCCTTTGAATGAGGTATGCAGCCAGCATTCGAAATTAGGACACACTGTGACCAATCTGCTGACCTCCAACCTGCATCATCTCTCCAGGCAGATGTCTCTACTGTGCACAGTAAGATCATTAACCTAGTGGGGGTGGTTTGACATCCAATTACATGCTTTAATAAAAAGTTCAGTGAGCAAGGGAACATGTTTGAATGATACATTCACTCAACTGACTCCCTCTAGAGGCCAACCTCAGAGACACTTAGAGTGAAAGTGCTCTTTTTATGCTAAGGGATATGGGCTTGCATTTTTGGTTCTGAAGATTCCCAGCTTTTATCTTTGTTGCCATTATTTGTACACTCACATCTATGGTGCTTTACAGAATAGCACCCCACCTAGGGCAAGAACTCCAGAACCTTGGACAGAATTGATTTGGCAGCAACCTGGTGCTGTGTTAGTATGTGCCCACAATTCAACGACTTCTTCTGTAGCTCAAGGGTAGAGGACTCTGATTTTGGTGGTGATGCACAAGTGCTTTGAGAGAAGGATGAATACAAACAATCACCGTATGCATCATGGCACATGTTATGTGGTGCACATACAATCCCTTTTGCTATAGTGAAATAAGAACATGGCCAAGAGCGAAGAACTCCCGGTGTTTAAATTCAGTGTCTTTCTCTGCCCCCTGCCCATCCCTTCCTGTGCTGGTTTGGACATGCCACTTAACTTTCCTAAGTTTCTTTCCAATGTTTTAGAAACACAAGTATAATACTAATATTTTGCTACCTCAAACCCTGAAAACATTTTGCTACCTCAAAACCTGAAAATATTTTGCTACCTCAAACCCTGAAAACATAAAGCACCAAGTAGGATTAGTTAAGTAGCCTGTTAAAAGGATTTGTCTCCCAAATGGGGCGGCTCTGAAGGTATGATTAATTACTGAGGTTTAATTCTACGCACCATATTTCCATTTCTTGAAATCAAAATTTAGATCAAAAAAAAATTAAGTTCCAAAATGACAGAAGCGAAGTGAAGAAACAGGTCCTACAGGAAACCAGAGCAAGATAATATTTTGACAGTTCTTTCCCCTGGAGTCAGTGCAGTGTTTTTAGCTGTAGCACCAGACCACAGGTTTGGATACATCAAAACGTCATTTCACAGAAACAAAGAGAGAGAGAAATAGAGTTGGTTAAAAACAAAAAGGCAACATTTGTTCTTTGAATTCCATGGCAAGTTTTTTTTCAGAATGTGTCTGGTGCGCCTGTGCTCTCTCTCATTCATCTCTTTAGTTTTACCTTGAACTGTGAGCTCTGTGGATACAGATGCCTTCCCAGCACTATTCATCACTGTACATGTGTAAACTCCGGTATCGGCCAGCTGCGCATTCTGGATTTCCAAAACCTGGATGCCTGCTTTCTCAAACATGTTGAAATGATCATTCTGTTGCAACTGAATATCACCCTGCAAGCATCGCAAGACAACACCATTAGATTCGCAGCCACACAAACAAGCAGCTTTTGGTAAAGTACCAATCCGCTGTCCCTTCCACTTATCTGTCTGCCACAGAGGCATGACAGGGCAGCCCTGTGCTCAGTTGTGGTGGTGGCTATTTTTGCACCCCTGCCCCCTGCAAAATGCTGAGCCCAGGGCTCCCGTCCCAGTTATGCTACTGTTCAAATAACTTCTATAATGAATACTCTGAGAGAATAAACAAATTCTGGCTCAAAGGCTTTGTAATTGCAGTACTTCAAGAGCCTGCATTCCCAGGATTTTATCAACCCTTTGGTTTTGTTTTATTTTGCATTTGCATCATAGGGTCTTTAGAAAAGTCTACTTTCACAGAATGGGTGACTGAAGCAGAAACATTTCACACTCGCTTTATGGAGGTCAGTTTTCCATTTTCTGACAGCAAAAGCTTTGAGGGCACCCTGGATTTTGCTTTGGTCCCTCTGCGCTGCTCTGGAAAGAGCGGATGGGAAGAATCTCTAGCCCAGCGGTCTCCAAACTTTTTTGATCGTGCACCCCTATCAGTAAAAAATTTTTGAGCACGCACCCCCAATATATGTATATTTATTTATTTATAAACTATACACATGTACTACTCGCATACGTGACACGTGACCGTCTGACATACGGACCGAGTGAGGACACCAGTGTCAAGCTGTATATTAAATATTAGTAAAGCTTAATTTCTTTCTTATTTTTTTAGATAAAAAATAAATATAAATAGAAGTTCTAATATTTTCTTCCTGCACCCCAATGGATCATCGTGCGCACCCCCTGGCTTTTAAAAATCAGCCTGAGCAACTAATTAGAAACGATCTGTAACAGTGCTACCATAAAAAGGTATCATTTGCTTTCAAATACCACAAGTTTTCCTGCTCTTTATACAGGAAAGGAAAAACTGAGCTCTCTTTAAAACATATTGGATAGCCCTGGATAAGAAATGTTTGGTTTTGTACACTGTATGCCTCTGGTGTCTCAATAAGCTTTTTATGGTCTGAATGCCATAAATCCTACCTGAACAGAAAGGGAGTTAGAACAAACTGATGCCAGTGTGATCCAGCACAAACTGCTGTTCTTTCTGAATGGGCAAGTAAATAAAGTGGGACAAAGAAAGGAATAAAGCATCTCTAAATGGGCATGACCTGGATATTCTGAAAAGTATAGTTTTAATTATGGATCTTATTTTATCACATATAATTTTACCAGATAGTTGCTGTGCTTGGCTACAGAATGCTGATGTTAGACCTGTGGCGAGAAATCATAACCCACCACTGCCTGCTTGAGCAATTTATAGAACATTTGGGCTAATTAAATGCAGATTAGCCAAAAGTTCTTGGGTTTATGGGACTGTCTTACTGTAAGTTTGTACAGTAAAACAGAGCATCAAACAGTGACTGGGGCCTCTGGGCATCAGTGTACTACAACCATAGCCAGCTCCTAGTGCAATGGCCAGACACTGGGACAGAGTTCCCTCAGCTCTGAAACATTTTTCCTTTCTCCTCCACTGATTCATGGGATTGTTTACTTTTTGGCAGAAAAGCTGTAGGAACCAGAAGAACATTAGTAAGAAAATGCCCCTCGTGTCCCATCGTATGGTCAATGCTCCGCGGTGTAATGCAGAAGACAACTGGCTGATTACTAGACAGAAGGAAGAAGGTAAGAGATGGAACGAATCTTCAGTTCAATAATCTTGAAGAACCAGACACGTCTGTAACTCTCCAAAGCACAGATTGTTTCAGCAAGAATTCAATTTTACTCAAAAGCAACATTGTTTTGGTGGAAAACGTATTTGCAACAAACAAAAACTACTAGCATTTTGTTCCTGAGAGCTTTTTCAGTAGCTTAACAGATCTACAATTGCCTTACAAGAGTAATTTTAATAGGCAAATGACAGGTGCTTCTCGGCTTTGAAATGGACCCGTTTCACAGCTCAGGCCCTTCTGCATTTCATACGCTCAAATGTTTTCCTACTGTGACTCTTTTACATTCGTCATACAGGTGGGGATGAGCTGTTTTCCTAACCTGGAGGGTTTTTTTTATTTGCAAACATTTTCCCTGTCAAAAATTATATCTGTCCGCTACTGCCTTTCGACTGCTGACTTCCACTTTCTGGTAGAGGGGCTTCTCACTTCTAACTAAACATTCACTTCTGATGTAAAGCGACAGGGTCTCAGAGAAGCAGCTTTCAGTTCCCAGCTCTCACACAATTCCCTCTGTGACCGTTAGCAAGTTGCTACCTCTCTCATGGCCTCAGCTGTTAAACAGGGATGACAATCCTTATCTTTTCCACCCTTTGTCTTCCCTTCCTGTTTATAGCCTAGGTTCCTTAGAGCCAAAGACTGTCTTTTACTTGGTGTTTGTGCAACAGGGTCTTGATCCCCAGGAGTGTTTTAGGCACCATGAGGGTTCATGTAATCAATATCAGTAGTGAGAGGAAAAAGTCAAGACACAGGGGAGGCTAACTGTGAAGAAGGACTTTGCTAATTGTTCAGTTGTTGCTAGTTGTTCAGCTTGCAAGTTATGGGAGTATGTAACCCTTTAGGTTGTCTGCTGGCTCTTGAGATGTTGTATCATCTGTCTTATAACAGTTGCAACCAGATCGTCCTCCTAAGCCAGGAGCTTTCAGGCAGAACAAAACCATTACCCTCTTGCAAAATCATACCTTAAACCAAGTTACTTGAGGCTGTGGACGTCCTGTTATTTTACAGGAGAACTTCCCTGTTTGGCCTTCGCGGACAATGACTCTAGTGGGTTTTGTAGCAAACTTCGGTGGACTCTCTCCCCAGATGCTTGGCCTGTTCTCCACAGCTGGAACAGAAAAGCGGCCCCTGGAAAGGCAACAAACAGCTTGATATTACAGGGGATCGCGAGCTTTCCTTGTAGTGAGAGCAGACTTCAGACAGCATTTTAGAACAGTGGTCTGCCAACGAACAGGTAGCAACGAACACTGAGCTACTGAGGTATCAGCAGGAGATAACATTTTTGGCCAAAAAAGTAGTTAGAAAACTGAAGTAAGCTAGCGCCATGTGGCCACTGTAAGGAGCCTAATGCTGCCCTGTGATAAGACGTGTATGTTGCAGGTTAACTTGTTGGAAACCACTGCTCTCAAGTGTTCATGTAACCGAACACATCTGCTCCATTCCCACATCCGGTGTGCACAGAGCACACACTATCACGGCTCTTTCTGGCAATCCAGGTTGCTTATAGCTAAAGCTGGGCAAATTAATCACAGTGGACAACAGGTGTATTTAATTTGGTAAAATGCTTGCTCTTCAGAATGATTATAACAATATTTTATCGCTATATTGCTTTTAACAATCCAACAATCCCTTGGAATGATGAACTGGAAATTAACTTTGCAAAACTATCTGGCCATGTCCACTTGGAAATTCACCACTTTAGTGAGTGTCCCTGCCTGGAAACGCATATACAAAAACATTCACAAGGCGAAAATGAAAAAGGCCCAAGCATAAACAAAGCACATGGACTTAGATTGATGGTGGTGATGAATATCTGTTGGCAGGATTGGCTCAAATCTGCTTATAAGGATGACAAATCGTGGAACACAGTTCTTTGCCATGGTAGTGGGACTACAGCACTACTCATTGAAAACAGTCAGTCTTCACCACAGAACTCAGAAATACTAAACGTCATTGGAGCAAGAGAAAAAAGTGCCACTTAAACTTGTTAATATCAAAGAGCTCCAGTAAAGCCACAGTACAACCAAACACCACATTAGTAAAACACAGAAGACAGTGATTTCCCCCCCCACTCCCAAAGCCTCCAAAGCAAGCCAAGCCACTTTCAGGGTCTTCATTTTCCACACGTGAAGGAGATGCCTTACGCATCAGCATGCTAATACAGACCACACAGCCTCAGTCCAAGGAGCTGCCAAGGGATGACGGTTGCTATATGGGCAACTGAAAGACACTAATTAAGACAAAATTATGATGAAGAGGATTTGCAGAGAAAAGGTATAGGTGAAAAATCTTGGAGAGGAATGGTGTAGTGTAATATCCAAGAAGAGTATACGATTCACTGTAGAATAAATTAGTTGATGAAGTGAGACATTCACATAGTTTAGTCTCCGAATTTGAGAGGTGTGGTTGTACACACACACATGTGAGTGTGCATACGCATACCCATGTAGTAAAAAAAAAAAATATCATTACTGCCCTCAGCTGCAAGTTGGTGAATGTTCCTACAGATTCACACCCTTTCTTGGGTTTTGGTAAACCTAACATTAAATAGCTATATATTTCCCTTTTCAGAGAGCTCTCCTAATTGGTTGCATTTCAATGGAGTTTGAAAGGTTTGTCCTCCTATTTCAGTCCCTCATATTTTGTCCCTGTATAGAACTTTTATAATTTGCCAGTTGGGAAGGTTGACATCCAAACACCTTCGTGAGGTGTGTGTGTATACACACATAAACACACACATAAAAAAGTCACGAAAGTGTTTGGATGTCAACCTTCCCAACTGGCAAATTATAAAAATAGTTGTAAACAGGAACAGAATATGAGGGGCTGAAATAGGAGGACAAATCTTTCAAACTCCACTGAAATGCAACTGATTAGGAGAGCTCTTTGGAAAGGCAAAACTAAGCAACTACAATGACAGCGTGGGCTATTCCTCTCCCATAGGAATATTTAGCACATGCAAACTCCCCATACGTATTTGCAACAACAACACAGTCCATTTAATTTGTAAAAGTAGCCTATTTTCATTGCCGTAGTCTGAACGCCCTCTCCAAATTAAACAAACACCGGCCATTGCAAAACGGAAATTAAAATGTTCAGTGTTAATAATCTTTGCTCTGATCACTAACATAAGCAAGGACATTTATTTTTGTTTAAGTCTTTGAGACCCTATTGCTTACACAAAAACATTGGTATAAATCAGGAAAAAATCAATGTTCTAGCAGTGTAAACCCAAGCTGAACTGCAAACCGGATCAGGCCCAGAAATTTTAAACCCAACTTTGCCCATTTCACAAAATAGCTGGTATACAGCAAGAGAATGATTGTTTTTTATTTCAGCTTCAATTTTCAAATCATATCTGGAACACTTTGCTCCACTGTTACTAATACTAGCTCTAAAATGGAGCAACTCTTGCTCCAAGACATGATTCCAGGGAGAGAATCGGCTTAATAGAGGAGAATCATGGAAGGATTCATACAGAAGGATAGAACAAATAAATGGAACTCAAACATTTTAACCAGCCCTCCGAAGGAATCAACAGCACTGATGGAAAGCAAAAGTCACTTGAAGGAAAAGAAGTAGATTTTCCTTAAAGAGAAAAACCTTTCCTGATTTCCCACCAAAACTTAAGTAGATCCATGCACTAAAGATCTCCACAGCCACCAGAATTCTTACCCTGGGGTTTTTGCACTGGATGGCAGGCTGTATCTCTTCAAGCAGCTTCCTGCAAGTATATGAATGAAAAACAGCACGTTAGAAGCCTTGTCAAAATTATTAGCTACTACAGATGCCAGAGGTTGCTTTAATATCAGCTCCTTCTTCTTTCAAACATAAAGGAAAGATAAAGCATGGGATACATTTCCTATCATCTAGCTCAGGGCTGTCCAATTTCTAAGTGGCTGGGGGTTGCACACCCCTTAGGCCACACTCGCAGAAAGAAGAGTCATTCAATTGCACTAGCAGGGGCTGCATCAGTGAGGGCCATGAATCATGGGAGCCCCTTGCTGCACCAAGGGCCTGGATGCCCTCCCACTGCAGCCTTCACCATGTGCCCAGGCAGCTCCATGACACTGTTCCTCACCCCCCACCCCACCCCAAATTTCCCATCTCCTCCACTGCTGCTCCTAGCACCTCCTTACTGCTACTCCCCACAGCTGCCCACTGCAGCCTCCCCCCAACCTGCTCTCTGCATCCCCCATGCTACTCCCCATGCCCCTCTTTGCCCTGAGTCACCCTTAGCTTCCCATGAAATCCCCTACCGCAACACACCCCAGGCAGCAGGCTACCCCAGGACTGAAGGTACACTGGTGCAGGGGCAGGAAGCGGAAGCCAGGGACAGTGGGAGCCCCTGGCTGATACTGCAGCTAAAACAATCTGGGAAAGTTGTAGCCAGGTGGGAGCCTGAGGGCTGCAATTTAACCTCTTGTGGCCTGCATGAATTACTAAATCCTCATCTGGCTTATGTTTATGGTGCTGTGAAATACAGGAGGCAGTATTTACTATAGATTGGTTTAGATATTTGAATATGGATCACATACGCATTTGGATCAGATCCTTGATCTAAACAGCCTGGAATACAGGTCCACAATCCAGAACTTTTGACTCACACCAGAGACCCCGTTGGCTGCTGTTTGACTGAATAATTATTTAAGAACATAAATTCCTCTCTGCATTGTGGTCCAGTGGAGAATGCATTAAATCAGGTGTCTGAAGTCCAAAGATTTGTTTGGTTCTTGATTCTCGCTTTGTAACTTTGGGAAAGATACTGCAGGACCCCACTTTTAGCTGTTTATAGCAGGGGTGGCCAGAATTACTCACCCTGGGAGCCACATCTGATCCTCCACCAAAGTTTAAGAGCCGGGGAGCTAGGGGTGGGGGGAGGGGGGTGCTAAGCGACCCAGAGAGGAGGTGACCATCCCCACCCTGCTCCACCAAGCCACTTT